ACCACTACCTGCAGCTGCTCATGTCTGTGGCCACTACCTGCACTGCATATGTGCCCTGCCTGCACTTCATGTATCTGCTCTGTCTGTGCACTGCTGCTCATGTCTGTACCCACTACCTGCTGCTCATGTCTGTGACCACTGCACTGTCATGTCTGTAGCACTGCTGCTCATGTCTGTGTCCACTGCTCATGTCTGTGGCCCTACTTATCACATTTTCTACTGCCATGTCTGTGTACCACTTTCTCCTATCTGCATTTCTGCCATATGTCTGCCTTTTCACCACTACTCATGTCTGTCACCTTTCGCCTGTACCCCACTACCTGCACTGCCTGCATGCATTTCTACCTGCTCATGTCTGCCTGCTCTTTCATATCTGTAGCCCCTTACTCTTAGTTCACACCTGCTCACTGTTTCTGCTCATGTCTGTGGCCACTACCTGCACTGCTCATGTCTGTGCCTTTTCTCTATGCTCATGTCTGTGGCCACTACCTGCACTGCTCATGTCTGTGCCACTACCTGCACTGCTCATTCTGCATTACCACTCAACTGCTCTGCATCCTGTGGCTCACTACCTGCACCGCTCATATCTGTGCTACCACCCATACCTGCCTGGCCTGTGCCATTTCACTTCCGCACTGCCTGCATGTCAGTGGCCACCACCTGCACTGTCGGCGTTCAGACCACCACCTGCACTGCTCATGTCTTCAGGCCACTACCTGCACTGCCTGCGTCTGTGGCCACCACCTGCACTGCCATCTGGTGGCCGCCACCTGCACTGCTTCATGTCTGTGGCCACCACCTGCACTGGCTCATGTCTGTGGCCACTACCTGCATCACTGCGTATGGCCACCACCTGCTCATGCACAGGCCACTACCTGCATTATTCGCTCTCTGTACAATATTTGTGCCAGGCCAACAGTTAATCTTTCAAACCGAGTGGTACTGACTATTGGTCTATGTATGTGGTCAGTACTGCGCGTGGCCATAACAATTCACGTGTGTGGCCATTAACCGAATTTTCATCTGGAGGCAGTAGTTCTGTTGTTTCAGCTGTGTGGCCACGAGCTACTGTTTCCATGTGTTGGCCACTTAATCATTTTGCCTCATCACGCAGTTAGTCGTCCAACTCTTCACTGAGTGGCCCTGTAGCGGTGGTTGTCCACTGACCTGTTACACTTGGCTTGCATATCATTTATTGTACACTCCCTGTCCATTCACTTCCTCCTCTCCTTCCCCACTTTCCTTCACTCCCACTCCCCACACTTCGTCTCCATCCCCACACCCCCACTTCATCCCCCCACCCCCCACTCTTTCCCCCACCCATCTCACTTCCCCCACCCCTCTCCAGGTGATATCCTTCCACCTGTGTCTGTCTGTCCACTTGAGAAAAAGGTTGTATCAAGGTCCCTGTGTTGAGAGTAGTGTTGCCGGGGTTGTGTGTCCTGCTCAGTGATGTGGTGGGTGTGTGTTTTATCTGTCTGAGATGTATTGTAAGAACGTCTGTAATTATTTTTCTAATTTATTGTATACAGGTTTGGCTGCCAGAATGAAGTCGTGGTTGACAGTCTTGATCACCTGAAGATTGTCCCCGGACAGCTTATTTTACCAGATAATTGAACACCTAGTGCTGCCCTGGGTGATAGGTTGGTTAAGTTTGGTTAGCACTGGGTTAGTGCTAGGTTAGGCTGTTATAGTCAGATCGTAGCACTTAGTAGTTATGGCTATTTGTAAATAGGTCACTTATTCACTTGAGGACACTGTACAGTAGTCAAAGTTGTTGAAACACAACTGGTTTTTTTTTACTTTATTTGGTGAGTAAAGGAAGTACAAGTTTGTATCAGTGACAGAACTGTAACTGAGTTCTCGTCGGGGGAGAATGAGAGCTCTTAGAATGTCTGTGTCTTCGTTAGGCGGCGCCTCAAGAATCATCAATTTTAGAGGCTGATGAGCTGACCTCTGAGAGGCTTGTCAAGCATGCAATAACCCGTATATGACTGAGGAGGGCAGTGAGTACGTATAATATAAAAATAACTATATAGGTTTTTATTGAAAGTACATTCATAGGGGGCTATATTTGTATTACCTATAATATGACGCTATAACAAGGTTAGTAGCGTTATGTTGCCTGCCCCTCCACCTTCATCCCGCAAGCTCAGATCATCACTACATGAAAGTGGATCGTTTATGACGTCATTAGTATCCAGATTCTTTCTCCTGTGGGATGGTGGGATACACCGGTTATGGCTGTAATGGCGCGGATAATCCTGACACAGGTAGAGCCGCGCACAGAGGCAGGTGTAGAATTTCTGTGTGGAATTATCGAGACCATGCGTTGTTTAAACATGGCAGAGTATACTTTGTGGTTTATTCCTTTAATTATATTTTAAGTTGAATGGGATATAAGTTGTTTTTTGTTATTATTAATATTTTTGGTATGTGTACAGTATCTGTTCAAACGACCGTACGTAACATACAAAGTTGTCATTTCAGAAGAGATGGTATAAAAAATTTATGTGTTTATTATTTCTATACTGTATATTCAGGTGTATATGTACTTAGTTGTTTTATGTCTGCAAATAAAAATAAGATGTCAATTTACGTATTCCTTATACTTTTAAAACTAATATTTTACTTTCTCGATTTTCAAGTAGGTTTTTTAGTGTGTGTGTGTTCGTTAAAAGTTAACGATACAATAATAATTTAAGTGTCACTATTAGAGGAAGCAGGCGATTGTGTGTCCTTGGAAGTATTTGGGGTAAGCAGGATGTGGTTTGGTAACGTCGGGTGGTGATGTTGACAGTCTATACCTGTGGTATGGTCTGCCACGGTCGTAAATAAAATGCACATAATGACAGTGAAGAGTCGTCAACGGGTTAGTTAACTCAGGACTGGTATTGGGGAATAATGGAAGGTTGGGCGATACTGTACTGTGTTGTTTATTAACCCTTCAGTACTAGATGATTTAACCCTTCACTACTAGATGATTTAACCCTTCAGTACTAGATGTTTAACCCTTCACTACTAGATGATTTAACCCTCCAGTACTAGATGATTTAACCCTTCACTACTAGAGATTTAACCCTTCAGTGCTAGATGATTTAACCTCTTCAGTACTAGATGATTTAACCCTTCACTACTAGATGATTTAACCCCTTCACTACTAGATGATTTAACCCTTTTCACTACTAGATGATTTAACCCTTCACTACTAGATGATTTGCCCTTCAGTGCTAGATGATTTAACCCTTCACTACTAGATGATTTAACCCTTCACTACTAGATGATTTAACCTCTTCAGTACTAGATGATTTAACACTACTAGATGATTTAACCCTTCTACTAGATGATTTAACCCTTCAGTGCTAGATGATTTAACCTCTTCAGTACTAGATGATTTAACCCTTCACTACTAGATGATTTAACCCTTCAGTACTAGATGATTTAACCCTTCAGTGCTAGATGATTTAACCTCCACTACTAGATGATTAACCTTCAGTACTAGATGATTTCCCTTCAGTACTAGATGATTTAACCTCTTCAGTACTAGATGATTTAACCCTTCAGTACTAGATGATTTAACCTTCACTACTAGATGATTTAACCTCTTCAGTACTAGATGATTTAACCACCACTACTAGATGATTTAACCCTTCAGTGCTAGATGATTTAACCCCTTCAGTACTAGATGATTTAACCCCTTCAGTGCTAGATGATTTAACCCCTTTAACTACTAGATGATTTAACCCTTCAGTACTAGATGATTTAACCCTTCAGTGCTAGATGATTTAACCTCTTCAGTACTAGATGATTTAACCCTTCAGTACTAGATGATTTAACCCCTTCACTACTAGATGATTTAACCCTTCACTACTAGATGATTTAACCCTTCAGTACTAGATGATTTAACCCTTCACTACTAGATGATTTAACCTCCAGTACTAGGATGATTTAACCCTTCACTACTAGATGATTTAACCTCTTCAGTACTAGATTAAACCCTTCACTACTAGATGATTTAACCCTTCAGTACTAGATGATTAACCCTTCAGTACTAGATGATTTAACCCTTCACTACTAGATGATTTAACCCTTCAGTACTAGATGATTTAACCCTTCAGTACTAGATGATTTAACCCTCAGTGCTAGATGATTTAACCCCTTCATTACTAGATGATTTAACCCCTTCACTACTAGATGATTTAACCCTTCACTACTAGATGATTTAACCCCCACTACTAGATGATTTAACCCCTTCAGTACTAGATGATTTAACCCCTTCAGTGATAGATGATTTAACCCTTCACTACTAGATGATTTAACCCTTCACTAATAGATATTAACCCTTCTACTAGATGATTTAACCCTTTCACTACTAGATGATTTAACCCTTCACTACTAGATGATTTAACCCTCCAGTACTAGATGATTTAACCCTTCACTACTAGATGATTTAACCCTTCACTACTAGATGATTTAACCCCTTCACTACTAGATGATTTAACCCTTCACTTACTAGATGATTTAACCCTTCACTACTAGATGATTATTTATCATATCATTTGTCGTCTTCTCCTCCGTCTACCATTCACTGATATCTCTTATCAAACTACCTCAATTCTTCTATCACACAGAGTTTCACACGTCACCAATGTGCCCTGAGCCCTGTTTGAAGGACATATATGAAACTGTTTAACGTTGTGAGGAGGAATAAAAAACACTCCTGCTGTCGGCTGTTATGGACTAGTTTTTGTGGTAGAGTTTGGTGGTGGTGGACTGGTGGCGTTTATTTGTTATTGTGTAGTAACTGTATCAGGTATTGAGGTAGTGATTAGAGGACAGTGGGAGGTAAATGAAATCTACTGGGGACGCTGCCTTGGCTCTGTGTAGGGACGCTCTGTTTGTAGGGACGCTGCCTTGGCTCTGTGTAGGACGCTGCCTTTGGCTTCTGTGTAGGACGCTGCTCGCTCTGTAGGACGCTGCCTTGGCTCTGTGTAGGGACGCTACCTTGGCTCTGTGTAGGACGCTGCCTGGTTTCTGTGTAGGACGCTGCCTTGGTTCTGTGAAGGACGCTGCCTTGGCTTGTGTAGACGCTGCCTTGGCTCTGTGTAGGGACGCTGCCTTGGCTCTGTGTAGACGCTGCCTTGGCTCTGTGTAGGACGCTGCCTTGGTTTCTTAGGACGCTGCCTTGCTCGTGTAGGGACGCGCCTTGGTTTCAGGGACGCGCCTTGGCTCTGTGAAGGACTGCCTGGTTCTGTGTAGGACGCTGCCTTGGCTTGTAGGACGCTGCCTGCTCTGTGTAGGACGCTGCTTGGCTTCAGTAGGACGCTGCCTTGGCTCTGTGTAGGGACGCTGCCTTGGCTCTGTGTAGGACGCTGCCTTGCTCTGTAGGACGCTGCTTTGGTTCTGTGAAGGACGCTGCCTTGGTCTGTGTAGACGCTGCCTTGCTCTGTGTAGGACGCTGCCTTGGTTTCAGGACGCTGCCTGCTCTGTGTAGGGACGCTGCTCGGTTTGTGTAGGGACGCTGCCTTGCTCTGTGAAGGGACGCTGCCTTGGGTCGTGGGACGCTGCCTTTGGCTCTGTGTAGACGCTGCCTTGGCTCTGTAGGGACGCTGCCTTGGCTTGTGTAGGACGCTGCCTGGTTTCTGTGTAGGACGCTGCCTTGGCTCTGGTAGGGACGCTGCCTTGGCTCTGTGTAGGGACGCTGCCTTGGCTTCTGTGTAGGGACGCGGCTGGGTTCTGTGTAGGGACGCTGCCTTGGCTCTGTGTAGGGACGCTGCCTTGGCTCTGTGTAGGACGCTGCCTTGGCTCTGTGTAGGACGCTGCCTTGGCTCTGTGTAGGACGCTGCCTTGGCTCTGTGTAGGACGCTGCCTTGCTCTGTAGGACGCCTTGGCTCGGTGTGTAGGACGCTGCTTGGCTCTGTGTAGGGACGCTGCCTTGGCTCTGTGTATGTTTGTTTGTCTTGTTTTTATTCGTTTGTTCAGGATTAGACTGAGTAAACAGAGGGTGTGGACGGTGGATGTCACCCACGTGCTGTGCTGTGCAGTTTAAATCATCGTAGGTTACTCAAGGTAGATTAGAAAGGAAAGCTAATGACTGCACGAGGGTGAGAGGACGATGGAGCAAACCACGCGGGATAAGCTACTAATTGATTTTGTCTGGTCAGGTGGTGTCAACTCAAGAGATCATACTACAGGTGAACAAACGATCGTGGGTCTTGTACAGTGTGTGGTTATTAGTCTCACAGATAAGCGTTTTAGTACAGCATAAACGGATTGATATGTGACGCGTTGTGTTTAGTTCGGAGGTGAAGGAGTGATTGTGTGTACTATGTTGAGGATATAGGCAGTGTGTGTGTAGAGTGTGGGAGTGTGGCTTCTCATAGGTCAGAAGTTGGTGTTGTAGATCGCACGGAAACTGTCACTGTGGAAATATCTTGTTACATGGAAGACAAAAGTAGAGAGAATGACTGAGGGATCACGTGGCCAAATGAACTGTGAGAGGAATTGTAAGATGAAACAGGAATTAATATAATGTTCTCCTGCACGTTACCACACCACATTATTCGTTCAGGTCAAATAGTATAGATAAAACCCAGATAAAAGCAATGTGAGGCGTTAGGAATTAATATAATTTAGTAAAGGCAAAAGACATCGAATTGAAACCCCACAAAAAAAGCACGTCTGTATTAAGTAGCCACCAGGTGTAGGGCAGGTGAAGCTACAGATTCTCGGTCGCAAATTGCAGCTTGTTTCATTCTTTGCCTGGTACCGCAGGTGGCGTGCAGGTACATAACCTTGCTGACCTGCTTCTCACCCTCACTTCCACCTCCACCAACGCCCTGACCTACAGTTGCTGCTGTTACTCAGTCTCAGTTGCTGTGTGTGTGTGTGTGTGTGTGTGTGTGTGCGTGCGTGTGTGTGTGTGTGTGTGTGTTTTGAGACTTTGTTTTACTTCCTCAGATGAAAGTGTTACCAACTGGTCGTCCGGACAAATATGGATGCTTGATGAGGTTCAGCTGAGCCAACAGATGCTTGCTTGTGGTAAGGATGACGTCACTTACCTAGAGTGTAGGTGACTTACCTCCGCTGCTGCGCTTCAGGTATTAGAGGTTCTTTTTCTGGCGGGTTTTGTTCTTTAATAACGAAAACTTCTCTATGGTAGGTAGATCACTATTCTCGCGTAATGTAGAAACATATTCGCCTTTGCTTAGAATTCTGATCTCGACCACATAAATCGGCCTTTTTTCGCCATATTATTCGTTTTTTCTGTTAAATAAGACCTTGTACCCTGATAGTAAAGGTTCAATGCTCCATGTTTAGGGACGGCTCTTGGTATAGAGTGAACTTTTCTCCGTTAAATCTTTACTTTTTCCCAAGACATGACCTTATGTTCGTAGTTGATGGAAAACCGATTTCCCTTACTGATGTCCGTAGTTTTATTCTCAAATAGTCTATTTTATGAGGCAGAGAAAGAACTATTCAACTGCCAGTATAGTCCAGTTTACCTGTCAGGTTGAGTTTAATTCCGCTAGACAAGACATTCCTATTGTTGGGTCCAAACCTCAATCCATCCTCCAGCTATGGTACTGTTCACTCAGCAGGAGGGGAACTGACCTCACCGTGTGAAGACAATGAACTCTGACTCATCCCATATTTTGTTCCATTTACATATACGCCGCTTTATATTCTAAGATAAGAAAGTTGTCTTTGAATATTTACGAGGACTTGGATCCTGACTGGCAGATGGTGTTCCACGGTGAGTGTTAGGGGGTGGAGGGCGATTGTCCCGTGTTGGGGTGACTGCATCGGGGGAGAACAAAGACTAGACTCAAGGGCAGGCAGGAGGTGGGAGTGACGGGTCATGAGAGCTGCCGAGGGAGGCATCCGGAAAATTGGGAAAATGTCTACAGTAATTGGAAGATAAAGAGAGTCTTCCTGTAAAAAGAACGTGGACAAGGAGAAGGAAGGGTGAAGGAAGAAATGGAGAAGAGATATAAGGAAGTATAGGTTCAGTGCATCATCAACACCGTCATGTAGTACGCTTGACTTTTTATATCCTGTTCATATATGACAGAATAACCAAATTAACTACAAATTATTTGGTGTCATATAGAAACAGGATTGTACATAAAATACCATTAGAAGAAGAACATTACTTATAGGAGCTGAGGATGTGGAGTGGAATGCCGGCAGAGTACAGTAGAGTGGTAGAAGGTGTTCCTCAACCGTGTGTCCATATTAGCCATAGTGTGACGGTTTGGGCAGGTGACCAGGCACGGTAATGGTAGTGTTGGGTGTAATACGCTCACGTGTCGCTATTGGAGCCGGTCATGCAACAACTACTTCCTATAATTCTAAGCTCACAGTCAAAGCGGAAGCGAGGACCTGCCTCGATTCTCGCAGGTGAAACTATAAGTTTTTTACGCCATTTGTCTCTGTCTACCCAGCAGTAATTGGGACCTGATAATCGATTTGCGGATAGTGTTCCGGAATGGTTAGCCAGTGCAGTTGGCGAGTTGTCCGGGTCTTTGCAGACTATTCTTTGAGATTGGGCCACAGCTTGTTAACTTAGGGGTGGATGTGTTGGCGACAGCTTCTATAACTTAAACAAATTTATGGGGTAACTGAAGAAAGTAATACACAAACAGAAATAGACATTAAACACTTTCATAAACACAAGTTAATATTCGTATGCAGACCTCATTACATTTTCAGTACTTTAATAACCATCAATTTTGTTAGTTTTTGGCTCTGACTGCTATATGTCTGAGTGAAGAACCATTATGCGTCGTGAACCAGCGTTCTTGAGGCTGAAGGAATACCTGCCCTGAGGGGGGGCAGTGTCTCGTTAACAGTATTTCCTGTCTGGTGCAACTGTTGGGCTGTATTACACCTGCTGGGTTGTACTGGCAACCTGTTGGGTTGTACTGGCACCTGATGTGTATTGGCACCTGTTGGCTGTACTGGCACCTGTTGGGTATTACACCTGTTGTTGTACTGGCACCCGTTGGGTTGTACTGGCACCTGCTGGGTTGTATGGCACCTGTTGGGTTGTACTGGCACCTGTTGGGTTGGGTATTGCACCTGTTGGGCTGTATTGGCACCTGTTGGGTTGTACTGGCATCTGTTGGGTTGTACTTGCACCTGTTGGGTTGTACTGGCACTGTTGGGTTGTACTGGCACCTGGGTTGTATCACACTGTTGGGTTGTACTACACCTGTTGGCTGTAATGGCACCTGTTGGGTTGTATTGGCACCTGTTGGGTTGTACTGCACCTGTTGGGTTGTACTGGCACAATGGCACCTGTTGGGTTGTATTGGCACCTGTTGCTGTAATGGCACCTGTTGGGGTTGTACTGGCACTGTGGTTGTACAGCATCTGTTGGGTTGTAATGGCACATGATGTAATATCGGCACCCGTTGGGCTGTAACTACACCTGTTGGGTTGTACTCAATTCGTTGGGTTGGTACTGGCATCTGTTGGTTGTATTGGCACCTGTTGGGTTGTAATGGCACCTGTTGGGTTGTACTGAGAACTGTTGGGCTGTAATGGTACATATTAATTAAGCACCTGTTGGGTTGTACTGTACCGTTAATAAGGCACCTGTTGGGCTGTACTGGCATCTGTTGCTGTACTGGCACCTGTTGTTGTCTGGCGCCTGTTAGGTTGTACTGGCACCTGTTGGTTGGCACTTGGTTGTACTGGCACCTGTTGGGTTGTATTGTCACCGTTGGGTTGTGTTGGGACCTGTTGGGTTGTACTGGCACCTATTGGTTAGTACTGCACCTGGGTTGTACTACACTTTATTGATTGTACTAGCACCTGTTGGGCTGTTGCACCTGTTGGGCTAGACCTTTGTGGATTGTACTGGCACTGTTGGGTTGTACGACACTGAGGTGTGTTGGGACCTGTTGGCTGTAATTGCACTATTGGTTAGCATTGTGTTGGTTGTTGGCACCTGTTGGGTTGGGATTGTTGGGTTGTGCTGCACCTGTTGGGTTGTACAGCAAGGTTGTACTGGCATTTATTGATTGTATCACACCGTTGCGTTGTTAACACCTGGGTTGTATTACACTATTGGATTGTACTGTCACCTGTTGGGTTGTACTGGCACCTGTTGGGTTGTACTGGCACCTGTTGGTTGTACTGGCACCTATTGGATTAAATTGGCACCTGTTGGATTGTGTATCACCTATTGATTGTACTGGCACCTGTTGGGTTGTACTGACACCTGTTGTTGTATTATGTTGGATTGTACTGGCACCTGTTGGGTTGTTATTGACACCTGTTGTGTTGTATTGACACCTGTTGGGTTGTACTGGCACCTATTGGATTGTACTGGCACCTGTTGGGTTGTACTGGCACCTGTTGGGAAGTTGTCTGGCACCGTTGGGTTGTACTGGCACCTGTTTTGTACTGGCACCTGTTGGGTTGTACTGACACCTGTTGGGTTGTGTGTACCTGTTGGGTTGTGTTGGCATTTGTTTGGGTTATGCTGACCTGTTGGGTTGTACTGGCACCTGTTGGGTTGTGTACTGCACCTGTTGGGTTGTACCGAGACTCCGTTGGGTTGTGTTGACCTGTTAACAGTTGACACTGTGGGTTGTACTGCACCTGTTGGCTGTACTGGCACCCGTTGGGCTGCTGTACTGGCACCTGTTGTACTTAGCACCTGTTGGGTTGTACTTGCACCTGTTGGGTTGTACCTGACACCTGTTGGGTTGTACCGACACCTGTTGGGTTGTGTTGGCACCTGTTGGCTATGTGACCTGTTGGTATACTGCAACTTGTTGGGTTGTACTGGACACCTGTTGTGTGTTGACACCTGTTGGGTTGTATTGGCACCTGTTGGGCTGTGCTGGCACCTGTTGGGTTGTACTGGCACCTGTTGGGTTGTACTGGCACCTGTTGGGTTGTACTGGCACCTGTTGGGTTGTACTG